CACGATCAAGGAACACGCTTTCACCGCCCGAAAAAGAGGTTCCTGAAAAATCACATACAAAAGCATGGACATGGGACACCCCTGACGAACGGAACGGCAAATAGGAAAAAATGAGCTAAAAAACCCATTCACACAAACGCGACTGCGACTCCGGACATACAACAAACGGATCCACCCCACAAACACCACCGGAAACCCAAGCCTCTCCATAGCACTAAAAACAAACTCTAAAGACACCCGATCAAAGGCCTTGGACCAGTCCAAGCTGATCATAGCCGCCGAAAGCCGATACTCGGACGCATAGAGAAGCACGTCACGAAGTAAGGCATTGCAATGCATCAGGGCACGGCCAGGCACACCACAAAATTGCTCCATAGAGACCACCGACGCAACGACACCCCGACATCGACGCGCTAAAACCTTAGAAAGAATTTTATAATCAACATTTAAGAGCGTAATAGGCCTCCAATTGGAAAACAACTGCAAATCGCCCGGCTTCGGGAGTAGCCGCACGATCCCGTCACAGAAGGAATCAGGCAGAGCACCCAAACGCAAACACGCCTGCACCACTTCCAAAAGCACCCCCCCCAGCACATCCCAAAAGGTAAGGTAGAACTCAATGGGCAGGCCATCCGCACCCGGCACTCTCCCAGAACGAAACGACCGAACCACCTCCAGGAGCTCCACCGTGGAAACATCCTGCACCAACCGGGCACACTCCGAGCGCGACAAACCGGGGAAGCACCTGTCCAAAAAGGAACCCGCGAGCACACTATCACCATGCACCTCCCCATAGAGGGCCTCCAACTCCCGCCGTGCGGTAAGCAGAACACCCTCTGTGCTAGAAAGCACAGACCCATCAGGCCGCCGAAGGCCCTGGAGAAGAACGGAACCCCTAGCAGCCTTCTCCCTCCCTAAAAGAAAGGGAGAGAGCCTCTCCCCATCCACCCGCTCAGCTACACGAGCACGCACGCGAACACCGTCAGCCAACACCGCACGCAAATCACAAATACGCTCCTTACACTCAGCAATCTCACTAAAGCAGTCAACCCCAGCATTCAACCGCACATATAAAGAAGACAAACGCGCCTGAAGGAACCGCAGCAGACCAAACCTCCCGGCAGCCTCCCGCTTAGCAACAATCCCAAAAAACCTCCGACACTCCACCTTACACCACTCCCACCAAACGAACAAAGAGGAGAAATCAGCCTTCCGGGCAACGATGCCAACCCACCAGGCCCGAAACTGCGCACAAATACGTGGACAACGCAATAACCGACAATTGAGTTTCCACCACCCAGGCCCCACCCGCACCTGACTCCGGACACCAACCCGTACAACCACCATACAATGATCCGAGAAAGCCACCGGGACCGTGCGAAAATAAAAAACCGAACACTCCCCACCAGAAACATAGAACCTATCCAACCTAGAACTCGCCCCACGCGCAGCGAAGGTATACTCCAACGAGCCGCCACACAAAACAGCCGCATCGCGAAACCCGCACGCACGCAAAACCTCAATTAAAGCGGCCGAAACATTCCGAGGGTGAGCACTAGAGCAATCCCTCACACACGTAACACAATTAAAATCCCCCCCAAAGATCAAATCCCGCGTATCATGCCGCAGGTATGGCAAAAGCCCCTCCCGAAAAAACAGCTCCCGGTCCTGACGATGCGCCACCCCAGAAGGGGCGTACACTGTCAAGAACGGAATCACAACCCCCAAATACTCAGCCCGAACAAACAAGACCCGCCCATCTTCATCCATTTCCGTGTGAAGCACGGAAATGGATGCCCTCCGCGAAAACAACATCAGCGTTCCCCCAAAGGACGTCCTCGGCGGGTTCAGCACAACATGATACTCAGCACACAACCCCTGCAACACAGACACATCCCGAACATTGTGCTCTTGGATCAGAGCCACATCCACCCGCTGCTCCCGAAGCACATCCACAAGGCCCAATTGGACCGCCAAAGCATTCAGACCACGAACATTCAAAGACGCACAAACAATAGCAGGCGCCATCGAACCCATTAATGACCCCCAGCCCCTCCAGGACCACCAGAGGGCACAGAGCCACCCACTGCAGAGGCGCCGTCAGCATCCTGAGGCTCAAACTGCCGCCGTTCCACCGTCGGGGAATCCACCATAATGCCTGGCCTCTGATCCCGCAGGAGGCGGACAGTGCCGGCATCACCCAGCGAAGCACGCCGAGACCCCGCTGCCACTGACCAGGTATCACCAACGTCCACCACCGACGAGGAATTCTTGCTGCCAACCGGCACTGCATCACTTCCGGAATCCATATCAGACACAGGAGAATTAGGAGGAGGAGGGGGGGCACCACCCAAGGCACAACTCCGCGAAGCCTCAATCCGTTTGCCAGGGGGCTCTCGACTGCGTGAGCGCGCCCCCGCAACGCGCTTCCGGCGAGGAGCATGGGAGGTCAACGCCCCCTCATGGCACGCACCCGCAGGGGGAGCAGAAGGCGGACTCGCAATGCATGCAACAGGAACGCCGGCACCAACGACGACGCTCCCATCACCCTCAGTGAAAGCATCGCCTACAACGGGAGGCACCGAGACGACACCCCCAACACCTCGCCCATTCACCAACGAAGCACCAGGAACAGGATGCACCTCCACATCCACCGGAAGGAGAAGACGGGAATCAGGAGCAGCCACGTCCTCCACCACAGCTGGCACAGAAGACACGATAGGCACAGACGAACCAGCAGGCACAGCAGTCGCAGGTGCACCACCAGGCACAACAGTCGCAGGTGCACCACCAGGCACAGCAGTCGCAGGTGCACCACCAGGCACAGCAGTCGCAGGTGCACCACCAGGCACAGCAGTCGCAGGTGCACCACCAGGCACAGCAGTCGCAGGTGCACCACCAGGCACAGCAGGCGCAGGTGCACCACCAGGTACAGCAGTCGCAGGTGCACCACCAGGCACAGCAGACGCAGGTGCACCACCAGGCACAGCAGTCGCAGGTGCACCACCAGGCACAGCAGTCGCAGGTGCACCACCAGGCACAGCAGTCGCAGGTGCACCACCAGGCACAGCAGTCGCAGGTGCACCACCAGGCACAACAGTCGCAGGTGCACCACCAGGCACAACAGTCGCAGGTGCACCACCAGGCACACCAGTCGCAGGTGCACCACCAGGCACACCAGACGCAGGTGCACCACCAGGCACACCAGTCGCAGGTGCACCACCAGGCACAACAGTCGCAGGTTCACCACCAGGCACAACAGTCACAGGTGCCCCACCATTCACACCCCCACGCCGAGGACCAGCCAGGGATGCACCATCCTCACGGAGGGGGGGAAAATCCCCCACACTGAATACAGAAGCAGTCTCCAGTCGAGGAATCTCACACTGGGCAGCGTCATGGCCCTCCTCCCCACAGCGGAAGCACGTGCGGGCCTGCCCTGGATAGAAAACCCGGAACGGAAGACCACAGCACATAACCTTGGAGGGGATGGGCTCCTTGAGGCGCATATGCAGCGTGCGAGTACCCAGCCGGAGGCCCCGCAGCCGCCCGGCACTAAACAAGTTGTACCGATGACGCAACACGTTACGAGGTTTACCAGAATTAGAAAAGATTGATTTCCGTCAATTGAAAGATGAACATGCAGTTGATAAAGATCAAGCATCGGATGCAGGATGTCTCTGAAGGTAATAAAATTTGCAGTCTGCTCATTTGGTATTTACAGATAAATTATACAAGTGATCAAGAAATCTGGAGTCTAATTACACCTCCCAAGGTGTGTCAGGCGAGGCAAGACCTGAGTACTGTGGTGATTCACTTGCTGGTATTATATCATTCATAATTTATAATATATACTGTACGATATGATATAGAGAAGTATTAGTAAATAATAACAAATGATAAATAAAAGTAGAGGGGAAAAGGAAGCTGTAATATTCAGAGAAGGGACTACAAAGAGTAATCGGACCTACATCAGCCCACCAACCGTGTGTGAAGTACTGTACTGTAACTCTGTGCACACCTACTCTTCCAAACAAACCATGCTTTAGCTGTAACCTTTAAAAACTGCATTAATCACTAGAGCTTGTTCAAATCCTAATTTAATATCCAAGAACGTTTAAGAGAAAAGCATAATATTTATTAAATATTTATTGTCACACTTTACATAACACTAAACCTCAGTGTGTTCTCCAGTATGATGATATGGACAAAATTATTACCACAGTGTATAAAATGAATTGGAGAGCCACAAAATGTCAACTAGGAAGCACTTAAAACTCTAGTTTGTACAGCTTGCTCCATCAATGATGCAAAGTATTTCCTGTAGTCACTTACGACTACCATTACTGTACTACTGATAATTCATGTTTATTTTTTAATATTCGACTACAATATGTTCATGAATCTTTTTCATAGCAATTCAATATTAAAATTAAAATCCCAAATTACAGTAACAATGTTGACCAGACCACACACTAGAAATTGAAGGGACGACGACGTTTCGGTCCGTCCTGGACCATTCTCAAGTCGATCCGCATCGCGCATCAAGTCAAGTCAAACGTCGTCGTCCCTTCAATTTCTAGTGTGTGGTCTGGTCAACATACTTCAGCCACGTTATTGTGACTCATCGCCTGCATACAGTAACAATATTAGGAAGAAAATATATATCCTTCATGGCTCAGGACCCACAAACACTATATTGTCCAGTCTTATCTGCGAGTCTACATAATTTTAGAGCATGAATTATTTAGTATATTACGTAGACATTCCACCAGAAGTATAGGAATAAGAGCAGTGTACAGTAACTGGAAAACAAAGTATCAAGTTGTCTATATTACTTGTAACGTTTAACGTTGTATAAAATTAAAATGTCAGTGGCTAAGAAATCTAGCCCAATAAAGCAAGCTTTAATATGATCACTTTTTTCTGTATCTAATCTTACTTATACATTAACATGCAAAGTATTCAATTTCTGTATATTAAAAAAAGGCCACTTTAACTTGCTCCAAACTTAGCCATCTTGTTATTAATTGGAGCCTTCATGAATTTTGGCGAGGCCATGTACTTCTTGATCGGCTCCAATTCCTCAAATCGTTTTAGATATTCCTGTAGATTCTTAGCATTTTTAAGGCATGTATCATCCAACAGCAGATGCTGGTCAAGCAGTTCATACATCAGGAAATCGACAAATGTGATCTGAGGGCGATTAATACAAGTATTATTAGTATAAGTATTAAGAAGAGCTATCAAAGTTACTAAAATTCATGGTATAGAAACTAGTAATTATTGAGGGATTTATTTGTTATGATTCATCGTCTGATAAAGAATGAATACATGAGGTACAATCTTAATGTCCTGCAGAAGGCTTTCGTTTCATTTTGATGACCAAAGGACTTCATAAGGATTGAGGAGGAGGAAGAAGGATGAGGATTTGAAATTCTGGAAAGATTGGATGGGGACGGTGAACAAGTGGGACAGAGTTTGGTAGACTGTTCACCTTGAATTGAAGCAAAGTGTGTTATAGTGATGATGGCGAGTGACATTCTTAGTTGGTAACAGGCGATGTGATCTCTTGGGGAGTGAAGGCAAGGCAGTCTTCCTTCGATGTGCTGTTGGTCTTATTCATCAGGATATTTTGGATCCTTTTTACCTAGTTTTTTTAAAAAAGGCCACTTTAGACCAGTTTTATTATGGTCTTTTGCCTCATGTTTTCATGCTACCAGGGCCTTTATAGTCTGGGTCAATTTTTTATTCTGGGTCGATGATGTCCATGTGAAGTAGGTTAATCTTGAGCCTTGATTGTTTTCGTTCACCTTGTCTCTTGATTGACAGGGCACTGATGACTCGGTGATTGGGTCATTCCGACTCCTTCATTGCCAGGTATGCCTGGTAGTTATCGTTCCATGCTTCAGTATCGATGCATTGTTGCTCTGGAGTGTGGTTGATCCCTTGTTCTTTCTTGTATTGGTAGTAATGGTATTTTGGTGTGGGTGCTTGGTCCAGTATGCACCCAGTTGTGCTTGCAGAGGTTGAACTTTGGCTCTTTGGTCCTGCCTCTCAACCGTCAATAAGCTGGTGTATAGACTCTCCTACGCCTACTGGGTTCTATCTTATCTACATTAGAAACTGTGTATGGAGTCTGCCTCCACCACATCATTTCCTAGTGTATTCCATTTGTTAACTACCCTGACACTATAAAAATTCTTTCTAATGTCTTTGTGGCTCATTTGAGTACTAAGTTTCCACCTGTGACCCTTTGTTTGTGTTCCACCCATGCTAAATAGTTTGTCTTTATCCACCCTGTCAATTCTGAGAATTTTGTAGGTGGTTATCATGTCTCATCTAGCTCTTCTGTCTTTCAGGGACACGAGGTTAAATTCCCATAGCCTTGCAATTTGCAATTTTCAACAAGACTGTGATCCGTTTTGTTTCGCCTACCTTTCTGGGTGCCTTCCCTGGTCGATGGCAAGTATGGTGTACAATACTGTACTTTAATTTAAAGTGTTCATAGGCAACTGCTCCCTGCTCCTCTCCGAGGGAAGACAGGTTCTGGCTCGTGTTTCCCAGTAGGCAACAAGAATTCTGCGACTGATGACCGCAATTAATATAGTACTATATCAGTATGGACAGCTTCAGGGAGTTTCTGGGGCTCACCCAAAAACTGGAGTTTAATTACATTCAATGCCAATTTTTTGTACGTTTAGAATTAGTTTATTGGGTCTTTAAAAATTTTCTTCTCTCACTATTAGTTTTAATATTCAGGTGTCTGGGTTAGTATTGGAGATATAGGTAAAGTCAATAGAGTCATCAGCAAATATAGAAAGCAAAAGGATCAAAGAGTTGGGACTCATTAAGTCATTGTTGCATATATGAAACAGAGATTCAAGTATACTATCTTGATAAGTAATTATGTTTATTGGAAGTGATCAATAACCTCATGACAAAAGTAACTTATGTACTTACGTTGTCTCCAGCAAACCATGGCCGACTTCCAAGGAACTCCGAGAACTGCTTTAAAGTACCTCCAAGAGCATCCAAGTATCGTTGTTTCTGAAGATTCTGATTGGTAAAATAGTTTTATATTAAAAAACCATGAACCATTTTACTTTTGTCTAAATTATAATTCACCTAATAGGTGCAGAATATTGTGCATGTCTCACCATACAGTATTGTATTACATTATTTATACAGTACTTGGTAGTAGAATATATTGCTTCCCATATCCCATAGTAATGTATTATATGTCATCTTATGATGCATAATATGCCTCACCATGCAGTATTACATTATGACTCTTTAAGGTAGGGTGCTGAATATACAGCTTACCTCAACATATGGTACAGTATTTCTGGAGAGGAAGAGACATGACCAGTGTGGATAAAGAAGAGAGAAGTGAAGACAAGGAAAGAAGCAAGAAGGACCAGGAAAAGAAGTAAGAAAGGGGATACCAGGAAAAGAGAATGTGGAGTGAAATTAAAATTCTATAAATACCCTTTCTCAATATTCACTGATTAAGATGCTGCATGTAAGAGGCAGAAGTTATTTTGGCCAAAAATAACTGGATATAGAGCAAGGTCATTACTGTAGTTCTTTGTAACTTTAGCTACATATTTTGTTTGCAATTGGAATAACAAATATGTTTATAATATTTATGAAATCCTATAATAGTAATTTTAAGAAGTTTTCTAAAATATAAAGAAAATAATGCAATCAAATTTAACGATGCAAAACCTTGAAATGAAAAAATTAAATTGAAGCCTTACAAAGAGATCTACGTGAGGTCCACAAAATGGTCAGAAGACTGGCAAATACTTTTAATATCAACAAATGCAAGACCTTGCATGTGTCATGTGGCTGCTGTGAGATAGTAGCCCACAGCACAACTATCAAATTAATAACATTACATAGCAGCAGATTGATGAAGAAAAGGACCTTGGAGTCAAAATCCACCAATTGCAAGTTGCACAACAGGTAGGAGCAGCAGTCAGAAAAGCTAACCAAACTCTTGGAATAATCAAGCATACTTTCAACTTTAAGAAAAAGAAGGTAGCGATTCAATTGTATAAATCTCTGGTGCGCTCCCATTTGGAATACTGTATCCAAGCATGGAGACTTCATCTTCAGAAGGTCATAGCTGTTCTGGAGAAGGTGCAACACTGGGCAACAAAAATCATTCCAGAGCTAAATCAACTCTCATATCAGGAACGATTGAGGGCCACAGGACTGACTGATTTTACTGAAACTTAAAATACTGAACAATTTGGAGGATGTTGATCCGGACAATTTCTTCAAAAGATCAGATGGAACACAAACAAGGAGCAACAGTTTAAAGCTCAACAACCCACAATGTAGGACTGAGAATAGGAGATGCTTTTTCACCCACAGGGTTATAAACCCATGGAACTGTCTTCCCACAGAAGCCGTAAATGCAAAAACTCTGTTAAATTTGAAATCCAATTAGAAAAGATCAACATAGGGGACCTTTGACAAGCTGCCATCCCTCCTTTCCATATTGAAGCCACTAGAGCACTAGTGACTTTCAGGTAAATTCAGGTAAATATATTGGAAGAGTTTCAGACAGTTTGATTGCTTAGGTTTATGTCACATGATGGTCAATACTACAGCATTACTAGGAATAAACAACTTTATAAATGACCTAACTAACTCGAACATTCAGTTTCTTTCACTTGCAGGCAGTCTACGAATTACAAATTGCTGGATTACAAAGATAAGTAAAGTTACTTTTATTCAGCACCAAGTACGGAGTTTTGAAGAGCCTGGGTAAATTTGGGTGTTATACAGATTAAAACAGGACTAATGAGTATTTACAATGTGTTTTCTTTTAGTTTACATTTATGCAAAATTGTACATATAATCATTCTGGACTTGTGTGTTGTATTTGTGACTGGAAAGTGTTAAATCTGGTGTTTAGTAAAAAACAAGAATTTAGATTAGTTTAGTTTAGAATTAACCAATATTTCACCCATCTACAGTTTGTATTAAGTTTTTAATGTGCAGTATTTATTTGCAAGATTTTTGCCAGAATGTAGCCCACCTGCAAAAAAGAGGGCCATCTTTATGCTGTAACAAAATACTACAGTGTGCAAATAAATGTAAAAACAATCCATGTTCACTAGACCCTAAATTCAGGTTTACCACATGTAAGTTAAATATTTACAGAAGCTATGAGCACATTATATTTAAAACTTTTTCAACTGAATAGGTTTGATGTTATTGATTTAGACATACTTTGCTTACTTCTGCTCATTCTGTTAAAAAATGAACTGTATAGTACATTTAATTCAACCTAACTATAGTATATCTAGAAAAATGTATAATGCAATCTTTACATGTTACATACTGTACTGGAGTGGAAACTATTTGAATTTGTGAAGTACAGTACAGCAAATATCAATACTGCACTGTACATACAATTGGGAAGCTAGGCTTCATAATATTATTAAATTTATGTTAAGTCCAAACAAGTACTGTTCTTTAATTCAATGACTAAACTTCTACACCTCTAGTTTGTAGGTTACCTGTAGTCAGTTTCAGGAGTTTTCCTACTCTTCAGTCCATGGTCTGGGGGCCAGGCTTTTTAAAATCACTTGTAATAAGAACTGTGTAATTTATGCTAAAATATATATTCCTATATGAAGGTAGTGTACCATGGAATAATCTTGAAAAACACTTACAAACTCAAGGTAACAGAGCCTGACAAATCCATTTCGAAAGTCCATGGCTTGGTTCTCAAGGATGTCAACACGCACTCGCTCTTCTTCCGTCTTGCCCAAAAGGTCATGTTTGCGTGCAATGTAACGCATGATAGCATTACTCTGAGTGATCTTTACATCACCATCAATGTAATAAGGTAGCTGAGAAGAAGAAAGGAATAGTCGGAAATAAGTACAGTAACTAAATATTTTCTATTACCTTCCAATTATACAGTACAGTATACTGTTTCATACCATTCATGAATGATCCAACACAGGAAAGCAAATGCAAGCACACAGCTGAAGCCCAAGTTCCATAGCCAAATTTTATTTATTTAAATTTACCTTGCCTAATAGAAATTCACTATAGAAACAGGCTTCAAGAACACTGATCATAATAGCTTGCAATCGAGAGCTGGAGACACGTAACATTCACTATTATAGGGTAAAAAAAAAAAGCTTTTGTAGTTAAAGATTAGGATTTCATGTCCCCAGGTAGCAAACTTTATGGCTTTTGTTTTTGAGTGGGTTGGCTAAAGCAATAGGGACCAACACTAAAAGTTTAAAATTACCATTCCATATTGACATATGAGTAACTGTTCTACTTTAGTGACAAAAAATATTACATGTATATATAAAATCAACAAACTGATATTTTAGCCTAAATTCATCACAACTCTAAAAAACTAAACTGCTTTTCAATTAACTGACAATAAATCCCATAAAGCTAAACATGCATACAAAACTTACATTAGGAAAGTCTAGACCGAAGTCAGACTTAACATCAAACCAACAAGACTTGTCATAATCTGGAGCCGGGCCACATTCATAATATTTGTCTTCAAATTCTGTGCCAGTATATTCCAGCATCAGCCTGATTGGCTGAGCCAGCTGAAAAGAAAAATTATATGTCAACATTTGCACTAATTCACCCTATATTTTAAATGAGCTTTTCTGCAATTCACAAAATCACACTCCAGTCTAATGCTGCACTTTAAAACTGCAAGAATTCTTATGAACATTTTCTTGTTCAAATGAAGAGGAATTTGTATAATCTATTTGACTTTTTTCATAAAAAATGTAGACCTATTAATTATGCTGTACAGTGTTATGAAAAATATAAAACTTAAATCAACAGCTAGGTCTGTTTCCTTATTCTATACAAAACAAAATATTAAATTTGTGCATTTAATAAATCTCACACAGCATTCCAGACAACAATAATGCTAACAGATAAGATTGTACTGGTCCCAGTGTCAGGAGTGGCCGTGTCCACTCTACACTCACTATAACTATCCATCAGTGATGAGTATGGGATCATGCTCATCACACAATACCCTGCCACTTGCAGGATGAGAAGTGGTTGAACAATAAAAAAAAGTTGAGATTTTTTTTTTGAGATATATACAAGAGTTGTTACATTCTTGTACAGCCACTAGTACGCATAGCGTTTCGGGCAGGTCCCTGGAAAACGATTCCCCCCCACGAAGAATCGTTGTTACAACCAAGTACTGTACCTATTTTACTGTTGAGTTAAACAGTTAGTTAGTTTAGTTCATTTATTATGCACCCCATACCCATCTTGTGGGCAGTAGTGGAAAGGGTTACAGAGGCACATAATGGGCTCAGGGACTGAACCCCACAATTCATTTAGCTAAGCAAGTTACAATCTTGACGAGCTAGTTACAAAATTCAATATAAGTCATCACATCAACAATGGGTTCGAGATCGACCTCAAGTACAGGTTCTAAATTAAGCAACTGACATATGTGGAGCTAGTGTCACAATTTATATGTTTGCCCTGCACACCGCCCCCCATCCAGTGGGCAGCGGTGGATAGGTTACAATCACTCAGTTACTACCTACAGTTAGCAAACTGGGGATATTTGGCTAAAATTTCTGGTAGCAGATCATTTTGAATGAAATATTTACACATCGCTGGAACATTGGTTACGAGTTAAACAGAGGCTACAGTTAAGGATTTGCGCCCAGTAAATCCTCCACGGCCAGGATACGAACCCATGACAAAGCGCTTGCGGAACGCCAGGCAAGTGTCTTACCACTACACCACGTGTAGCACTAGCACCACTATACAATACCATAAGAAGGATGAGCATTGGACACAATAAATTACCATTCAGGATGAATAACGGGTGCACAATAAATAACATATCACTCTAAGGATGATTATGGGATATACAAACTACCACTCATAGTATAGTATACAATAAACAAGTATAGTGTACAATAAACTACCACTAACCTAAGCTAGAATGGCTATATTCAATAATTTGCTAAGTACATATAAAGTTTAGCATGCGTGACAAGCAATATATATTATGTTAGCTGTGCAACATACAACAGTTATCAGGGTTGCTAACAAATGGACAGGGATAATTAGGATTAAAAACACAACATTAATCTCTACCTGAGGAACATAACAAGCAACCACTATGACAGACACCAGCATGTCCTGTTAACAAGGGCCAGTTCATTAAAGACCTGCAGGAAACGCTATGCTTGTTAGTGGCTTTACAAGAATGTAAGAACTCTTCTATATTTTATATATATATCTGATATATATATATATATATATATATATATATATATATATATATATATATATATATATATATATATATATATATATATATATATATATATATATATATATATATATATATATATATATATATATATATATATATATATATATATATATATATATATATATATATAATAATTAATATTAATAAATAAAATAAATAAAACTATTAAGTAATTTAATAAATAAAATAAACATTAGGTAGTGATGTGGTGGAGGCAGACTCCATACACAGTTTCAAATGTACAAGAATGTAAGAACTCTTGTAATAAAAATAAAAAATTAAATATGATAATATGATAGAGCTGGAGGTCAGGAACCTACACCAGTAGATTGACGGTTGAAAGACGGGACCAAAGAGCCGAAGCTCAACCGTGTTACTTGGAACAAGCACAAGAAGGTAAGTAGTTATACATGCAGGAAGAACAGTTAGCAGGTATAAAAAGGTAAGCCTCACTCTCCGGTAGTGAGTGGTGGTGGTACTGGGCGTGAAGGCTGACTTACGCCACGGATCTTCCAGTAGCCGAGGACGGGCGCCATGTCTGTTCTGGTACTGTGTGTGGAGTGGTGCTCTGGCCAGCCGGCCGGCCTGGCCACCAACCTTCCTCCATCACCCCCAGCCCCTCCTCCTGGCCAGCATACCTCCCTCCCTTCCTCTATCACCCCCAGCCCCTCCACGCTGCCAGCATCCTTCCCTCCCCCCACTCCTCCTCATGGCCAGCATCCCTCCCTCCCCTCCTCCATCACCCCCCCAGCCAATCCACATGGTCCTTCCTAACCTCCACCGACTAATACCCCAACTACCATGTGTCCCTCGTCTAGACTACTAGCCCCCTCACCTCACCCCGTCCACTATCTCTTCATCCCACACACTAACCCTTAAGCCCCACTAACCCCCCACTAACCCCTCGTCCTGCCCACGGGGTTAGTGGGCAGCTGCGTCCACTAACAAAGAGTGCAGCTCAACCCCTGCAAGAACAACTAGATAAGTACTACTTACGCAGCCCTTTATGTAGAATCAGATTAGCACATCGCATTTTGACCTATAAATCCCCCTAAGGCCAAAAACTGATGTACTAAAAATCATAGCGGCTCGCAAAACCAGTTACTCCATCTATCATCATTCTATTATGCAGGAAGAACCGCACGTCTATGGGTCATCCACTAATGTTAGTAGACTTCTAGATGTTACCACTGCTAGACTTAGGCTCGGCTACAAGTACTTCTGGGAATTTGTAACATTTGCTGATGTAGATTTGACTAAATGTAAACTCTGTCAGTAGAACTATTCGCATAATTTTCGTCATTATATAATGGAATGTGAAAAAATTCGCGGAATTTAGAGATAACACCATCAATAGTGTCCAAGAAATGTGTAAGTACTTCATTCATAATGATGTGCTGCCCGAAATCTTAGCGAGCGAAGTATCCAAAATTTGCTTACTGTAGGTAATGCATGCACATGACTGTAAAGCTGCCGCCCAGTTGGGTGGGTGTGCAGCAAGACTAGTAACTGTGTGACTCATCATAGATGTAAAGTGCCTTGTATAGTGACTGTTGTGAGCCTCTTGTTGATCACTTAAATTTTTAAATTTTGCCCCGAGGGGCGAGTTTATTGGGCAGCGCCACTCATCTTGTGAGTGAACATACCGCCATAGCAGAATGTACAACACTCCCCAATAGGAAGAAAACCCGCTGGGTTGTTCATCCTGTCACTTGTACCCAGACACAGCTGGGACTTGCTTAACTGTCTCAAGTGAACAGCTCCTCAAACAAGAAGATTAACATTTATCAACCCTTAAAAGCTTACGTTATCTTGCGGGTGCAAAATGGGGAAATCTTTTAAGAACAGTGTCAATATTTGACAAATAGTGTTTTCCTAACTCAAACAATGTGGGGTTTATTATTCTACACATATTCCTAATGTCTCTCAGGTGTTCACATTCACGTAGATAGTGGTCAAGGTGGTGTCCATCACTCTCACCACAGATTCTGCAACTTCGCTGAGCAACTGTTGTTTCCATTCCAAATCTCCATGGATATTTGTATCCAAGACGGATTCTCGCTATTACTGATTCTCTCCCTCGTCCTCCTCCTCTTCGGCCATAATGATTAGGATTGCCAGCTGCAACCATGTTGTACCATCGTACAGATTCACTGGTTTGTGCTTCTATCCTCCTTTCCTCAGTTACCTTGTCACGGTGATGTTGCCTGATAATACCTCTAATTTGTAGTTGAGTCTTGGGTATGAAGTATTCAATATGGTCTCCGACATAAAAGATTATTGATGTGTGTATTTGTGTGGGTGATTAAATATGTATATATATATACGTATATATATATGTACATGTATGTATGAGAGTGTGTACATGTATATATAACATTAATAATTGTGTAACTAGCATCAAAATATTGTTATTTGCTTAGCTAAACGAACTAGAGGAGTTCAGTTCCTGAACTGATTATGTGCCTCTGTAATCCTTTACACCACCGCCCACGGGATGGGTATAGGGTGCATAATAAAGAAAGAAATTGAATTGGCTCGCAAAATTTATGTAATGGACAGTTTTCTATTTCTGGATCCTCGGTTAGGTTAGGTTAGATTAGGTTCGGTGCAGCCAATTAAGCCTAGTACGTGAGCCTAGTGAGGCTGTGACTGGCTGACCTGTGACTCTCTAGCAGAGGTGTACTCTGTGTATTCTGTTTCTCGGTGTGTATATATGTTCAGAGTTTATTTTCGTCCTCAACTGTTTAGTCCTGGTTGATCAGAATGGTAGTGGCTTTAATAACCCCTTAAGAAGTTGATAGACCTTGAACTCAACTAAATTAAGCCTTGTAACTAAAAGTATGGTTATGTTAAACTTGGTGGAGGTGGGGTCCCTCGATTGTTTCAAACGTGGGTTGGACATGTATATGAGTGGGATTGGGTGGTTATAAATAGGAGCTGCCCTGTATGGATCAATAGAACTTCTGCAGTTACCTTTGTTCTTATATTCTTATGTAGCATACTAAAGGGTGTACCCGTCTGCCTACCTCTCGTCTCCTCCCTCCCCTCTTCTCAGAAAATTCAGTATTTCAAAACACTGAAACTGATAAACAACTGTATGGTAATTACATCCAATATTTCAGACTTGGCTTCATGAGAATCATGGGAGGGGGGGAGGGGGTTCTCTATAAATGCAGATATTTCTTTAAGCATATAACTTTGACTGACCCCAACTGGCCTATGACATCCCCCAAACCAACGTGATTCATCTGGAAAGTTGGGTGAGGCTAGCCCCAAGCCTCTGGCATCCAACCTCGAACAAACTGACTTTCTATTTTCTAGATATAGATGAAGGTCTATTGTGTGTTTACATAAATCATCGACAAATACCCTATACTAAAAACCACTGGTTTATATAATACTAGGAAAAACTCAGTGCTAAAAGGGTGTACTATGTTTAGGTTTTACACTTGGTGATAAACATTGGTTTCTTAAACCAAACTTATAATTACTATAATTATTGTTAATAAAACTGGAATTGAATTATACTGCCGTAATTGTTTAAGAGTCTAAATAATTTTACCATCCCTTGATTGGTGGTATCCAAGCAGGTGTCTGTGCCTTTGCCTGCTTGGTCTAAGATACAATCACATCTCAAACTACCATAATGCATCTGGGTACAGAAGATGATTTCAGAACAAATGTCTAACAAGTGGGTTTCACTTATACAAGCTTCCTTTAACACGAAAATACATAAAGACGACCAACACACTCTGGCACTTAATCCGTACATACTTATGAAAGTGAGTGTACACTCTCTGACACATGTAAGACCAATCCTGGAGTATGTCGCCCCAGTATGGAGCCGTACCTTGTCAAGCAGAAACCGAAGCTGGAAAAAGTTCAGAGGTATGTCACCAGGCTAGTCCCAGAACTAAGAGGCATGAGTTACGAGGAAAGGCTGCGCGAAATGCACCTACGTCGCTGGAAGACAGGAGAGCTCAGGGAGACGTGATCACTACATACAAAATTCTCAGGGGAATTGACAGGGTAGACACGGATGGATAATTTAACGCGGGTGGTACACGCACAAGGGGGGACACAGGTGGAAGCTGAGTACCCAAAATGAGCCACAGAGACATTAGCAAGAACTTTTTCTGTGTCAGAGTAGTTAGTAAATGAATGCACTAAGAAGTGATATGGTGGAGGCTGACTTCATACACAGTTTCAAATTGTAGATATGATAGAGCTCGAGACGCGTTCTGGAATCTGTACACCAGTAGATTGACGGTTTAGAGGCGGGACCAAAGAGCCCCGCAAGCACAACTAGGTGAGTACACAAACCAGTCGATTAAGGGTTAAATGGCGGGACCCAACAGCTGTAGCTCCTCCACTGCAAATATAACACACACACACACACACACACACACACACACACACACACACACACACACACACACACACACACACACACACACACACACACACACAACACACACACACACACACACACACACACACACACAGGAGGCCACACACACACACGTCTGCGGCATATGCGAGGCTGGCTAACATCAGAACGGCGTTCAGGAACCTGTGTAAGGAATCATTCACACACCACATAAGCACAAGACGAAGCTGGAAAAAGTCCAAAGGTATGCTACTAGACTAGTCCCAGAACTAAGAGGCATGAGTTATGAGGAAAGGCTGCGGGAAATGCACCTCACGACACTGGAAGACAGAAGAGTAAGGGGGGACATGATCACAACCTACAAAATCCTCAGGGGAATCGACCGGGTAAACAAGGACGAACTTTTCAACACTGGTGGGACGCGAACAAGGGGACACAGGTGGAAGCTGAGTACCCAAATGAGCCACAGAGACGTTAGAAAGAACTTTTTCAGTGTCAGAGTAGTTAGCAAATGGAATGCATTAGGAAGTGATGTGGTGGAGGCTGACTCCATTCACAGTTTCAAATGTAGATATGATAGAGCCCAATAGGCTCAGGAATCTGTACACCAGTTGATTGACGGTTGAGAGGCGGGACCAAAGAGCCAGAGCTCAACCCCCGCAAGCACAATTAGGTGAGTACACAAGCATAAGTATAAGAAGAAACTGGAAAAAGTTTAGAGGTCTGCCACTAGGTTAGTCCCAGAACTAAGAGGCATGAGGTACGAGGAAAGGCTGCGAGAAATGCACCTCACGACTCTGGAAGACAGAAGAGTAAGGGGAGACATGATCACAACCTACAAAATTCTCAGGAATTGATAAGGTAGATAAGGATAAACTGTTTAACAGGAGGGGTACGCGAACAAGGGGACACAGGTGGAAACTTGAGTACCCAAATGAGCCACAGGGACGTTAGAAAGAACTTTTTCAGTGTCAAGAGTAGTTAACAAATGGAATGTATTAGGCAGTAATGTGGTGGAGGCTGACTCCATACACAGTTTCAAATGTAGATTTGATAGAGTCCAGTAGGCTCAGGGATCTGTACATCAGTTGATTGACAGCTGAGAGGCGGGACCAGTGAGCCAGAGCTCAACCCTCGCAAGCACAACTAGGGGAGTACACACACACACACACCAGGCTTGCCAAGTTCCAACACAGCAGCAGCCATATGCCACCAACAATACAAAATAAAAAAAAATCATCCAGATAATTCT